AAGATGGTTCTCTAGGACATTAGTCTGCCTTCTTCTCGGTCTGCTGGCTTTCTGAATAAAGTTGTTATTCCTTGTCCCAACATCTCCCGATTTATTGGCCTGTCATGCAGCGAGCGGAACAAGTTTGGACTCAGTAACATAACTAAGTATTTCCATAAACAAGTATTCTGAAGGGATGCAGTTCTTCAATGAATCAAACCAAATGGCTTTTGAAGTGTGTTTATGTGGAAGGCCCATACCTTCCTTAGGAAACTCTTCTGCTCCTAGGACACTGCTAAGTACCTTACAGAATAATAATACTTCTTTGTTCAGTCACTGACTAGGAAAGTTTACTTCTTTATATTCAATTTCAACAAATGCAGCAGAAATCTCTTACTATTTAAAGTGCAACGCTTAGTGCAACAGAGGAACATAATGATGCAGCCAGTGTTGGCCCAGCGCTGGGGGTAGAGGCACATGCAGCATCTGAATATATGGGCCATAATTGGGAAATAAACAAGAGATCTCCTGTAATTCCCATAAACTGGATGTAAATGCTATTGGACCACTTTAAATTCCCTACTATGGATGCTTTGCATGATATTTTCTCCCAACTTCATGGCAATACTCCCTAACATAAATATACCTCCTATAAGACTGATTGTCACATAAAATCGTGTGCCACAGGTTTTTCTGAAGAGAGAATTCCAAACCATAAAAACAAATATCTTAGTGAAAACATTTCCAGAAAGTATGGGTGACATAATTGAAATTCCACTGGATGCTGGATATTATGCAACATAAATAAATGCATGAAAAAATAAATCAAGGCGAGGGTATATATAAACAAGTAACTTTGAGGAAATGCCAAATTAAGATGGAATAGCTTTTTTTAAACTGCAGGATTTATCAGAACCTTTAATGCATGAGTATGTATTTTAACTCTAAGAAGCAGCTCTGACATCATTTCTCAAACTTAGGTTTCTTCCCCAAGCATTTTTCAAGACTCAGGTACTATGGAACACCAGTTTGGGAAACACTGACCCTAAATATTACCATAATACACTGCCTTTCAAAAGTTATGGCAAATAAGCATCCTAACTCTTCATATGGAAGAAGAGGTGGTCCACCTGGCAAACACAGCAGAGGAATCTTTGAACTGAGCTGAGCTCTTATAAAGCCTTGGCAACTCCAACAGGGAGTAAAACACAGCTTCTCCCATAGTAACTACTGCTGGTCATATAACCATTAAAAAGCAATTCGAACACAATTGCATATGGTCCTGTTTTGGATGCAGATCCTGCAATGTATTCTTGAGGCTAATTTTTCTTTTCTATCTGTTGTATCTTGAGATCTGAATATATATTCGATGAGGATTCAATGTTTGTATCCTCCCAAAATGTATATGTTAAAGCTCTAAGCCCCTAACATGACTGTATTTGGGGCCTGTGAGGAGGTAATAAAGGTTAGATGAGGTCCTAAGGGTGGGGCCCTAACTGAATGGTGTGGGTGCCCTTAAAAGAAAAGGATGAGACACCAGAGGGCACTCGCCTCCCCTCCCCTCCTTTCCCCTTCTCCTCATGTCTCCCTTTCTCTTGCTCTCCTTCCAAAGAGGTCATGTGAGCACACAGGCAGACAGCAGCTGCCTACAAGCATGGAACAGAACTCTCACCAGAAACTGAACCCTGTTAGACCTTGATCTTGGACTTTTCAGCCTCCAGAACTATGAGAAAATACATTTCTTCTGTTTAAGCTACCCAGTCTGTGGTCTTCTATATGGTCGCTCAAGCAGACAAATTCAATATTGGACAAACCATTGTTTAGTCAAAATGACTAATCAAATCAGTGGTGGGTAAACTGAGGATGTTTAAGGCTGAGCTGAATCTACCCATCCATGGACTCAAAACAGTCAATGCCATCACGCTCCCCAGGTTTAGAGGAGCATAAAGAAAGAGAGGCTTTGCAGTTTCCATGTCATGATTGTTAAGAACCATGAGGATAAAAAAATTTCCTATTCAAAATATCCTTTTTAAAGAAAGTTGACCTTTATACTCACAAAGCTTTAAAAAACAAAAACAAAAATCCTTCTCCCAAACAAAATAAACGAAAAGTCTTTTCCTAATTTTAAAATGCTTTATGCAGAAACAGTTCAGTCCCTGATTTGTTCCAACGCAGCCTGGAGCTGCTGAATTCCTTGTGAAATCAGGCCTGAGAAAGGTGTGCAAACATGCAGCTGTCACTGGGGGCGGGGAGGGAAGATAAACACATTTGCTCACTTTAGAAAAGCAAATGAAAAGCAGTCTATGCAAGTGAGTGCTGGTGGCTGTCAGGATTGGACAATGGAGTGGCGCTGGTTTCTAGGGGCCTGAACAGAACCCCTGTGCACCCAGACAAGCCCACACCGCCCGGCACGTACTGCAATGAGCCTCGTCACTCCAGTCGTCACAGTCATTGTAGCCGTTACACTGCAGTTTCCTGGGGACACAGATGCCACTGGCACACAGAAAGCTCTCGCCCCCTCTGCACAGCACTATAAAAAAAAAAAAAAACAGAAAAAAAAGTCAAAATAAGAGGTTTTTATTTTCTCCTTTTCAAATTAAGAGAAAAGAAAGAACAGATAGACAATACTCCCTTGCTATTCAACAGATGTGCTTCCGAATCCCCTCGGTTTCACTATCACCCATTTTTTTTCTTGGACCTTCTAGAGCATTCATCGTAAAATCATCTGGGAGAAATACAAACAGTGTTTGGCTGAGAAAAGCAAAAGAAAATTCACCAATGGGCTTTCGCAGCACAAGAGAGAGCAGCCCCATCAATTGTATACCATGGGTGGAAAAATACCAAATGGGAAAATTTTTCTTAATAACCGAAAATTATTTGAAAGTGAAAGGTAATTTATTGAACACACATTAAAAAATCCAAAAACCTTCTCCTTCTATAATGCTATTCATTCTTGCGCATGAAAAGTTATAATTAAGAATAGTCCATTGACATGTGCTTGAACACAGGCCTAGAGATCTCCATGCCTTGTATTTGAAGTGTATTTATTTACTTGCCTTAATAAAAATGCCAGTTAAAAATATCAGAGTCTACTTTGGCCTAAGGAATGTGAAATAACAGTAGTTAATAATATTTTCATCCTCTTCCTTAACATGGTTGCATCTGGGTATTCTTTGTTTTAAGTACTATATGCTCTTTTTCTTCTCAAGATTGAACAAATATTCAATTGTTTCAAAATTACAGTAGACAAAAAATGTAAGAGAAGAAGCTAGAGAGATTTTACTAAGGGAAACCATTAATGAAAGGACAAATCAATTCAACAAAACGGGTGCTAAAACACACTTCAACATTTGGTAACAGGCATCAAATGCCTTTTAACTGTGCATAACCTTTGACCCAGCAATCTCATTTCTTGGACTTCATGAAAGGAAATCATTATGAACAGGGCAAGGTTTTATATTTAAGGATATTCATACCATCATGGTTTGTAACAAGGAAACCACGCAATAGCAACTATGTAATAACAGAAGGCTGGTTAAATAAATTTTAAGTAACTCCATAATAAGGAATATTGTTACAGCCATTGAAAACTGTATTGTTAAAAATAACATCCTGGGACAAAGTTCAAGATAATTTAAGTGTAAAAACACCATCTGCTTCCAAAAAGGTATAATACAATTTGGCCTAGGAAGTATATGTAAGGTAACTATGATTATCTCTGGTAATCATATGGTATTAGGATTGAAAGTAATTTTTATTTTCTTCATTGTATTTTCCTCTGTATTTTACACATGTTCTTATAATGATGTCTTTTTAATCAGGAAAAAAGAAAACTAACTTTTTTCATGAGTTCCCAATTCAGAATAATGGTAAATAAATACAACCCTTCAAAACTTCTCTCCATCTCAGTGGAGCACAGTATATTGCCGCAATATTTGCCACTGCAAAGAAAAGATGCAGTTAATGGATTATTTCCCAAGGCTATCAAGGAAGTCGGAGTTTTGATTTGCTGAACAGTAAGTACTAGTCCATTTGGTACGTTCCTTGTGATGCTACTTCATGTGTAATCTTCACAGTGTCAACAATGAAAGTCTGGTTTTCCATCATATCCCATGATTTCCATATCAATACAAATGGCATCTATGGACTTCAACTGCCAAAATATGAAACACGTTTATGTTTTGTATAGTCTTAGAGGAGTCAGCCCAGGACTGCACTCCTACAGCTACAGATTGCCTCCTAACGGGTATATACAGGAAACCAGGTAGAAAACGAAAAACTAAAACATTTAAGATTTTACTGGCCAGTCTATACAATATCCTCTCTCTAGGGTTAAGAGAACATTTTCAAGGAGTAAGTGTTTATCCTAGTGTGAGACTGTTTCTGTATTATACTAGAGAGTGCAGAAATTCCATCTGTCTGCATTTTAGCAGCTGCAATGCCTCCGAAGAATTATTGCATTCCCTACACTATGGCTCTGATGACTCCTTGGGAAATGTAGCTGAAAGCTCAACATTAAAGAGCTCCATCCATCTAGGTTTCATCTTTAAGGCCCTATATATCTTACTTCAATAAAGCCATTCTTGTGCATAGTTCTATCAAGTCTGGATCAAATTTAAAATATGGCATTGCTTGCATTGTTTTGATTGTCAATACCCCATGTCTTGGCTGATTCAGCAGAAACTGACTTCTTTTGTGTGGTTCCTCACAGTTGGAGATGTGGCTGCCCAGGGTTTTAGGACATTAAAAATAGTTTCTTTATTCTTATTCTTTCTTTGGAAGTTCTTTGGAAGTTCATAGGTTCATTAATCAATATTATTCTTATAAAATTAGAGTAGCTGTGCATATTCCTTCTGTTGGATTTCTTCCTGAGATGTATTCAGAATTCCCACTTTAATCTGTGTAAAATTGTTCAACTAGCAAAGTATTTCAGATAGGTCTCATTTAGAAGAGCCCCATAAAGTACACAGGTAGGAATATGACTACAATTTCTTCAAGGTAAGTGGTAGTTTACAAGTAGAGGAACTAGAGTGTCATGTGATTAAGACAACAATTGCTCCAAGCCATATAGCTAGGAAACAGTGACATCCACGGAGCTCCAAGCCCAGTCCTCCACACCATCCCCCCTCCCCATTTCTGGGGCACAGGCAGCGTGGATATGTGCTCAATTCAAGCATACCAGATTCAGGTAAAAGTTCAAATTCGTCCTTATTTTTCTCTCTAAACCAAAGATAAATGTCTGTCCCTCAGGTGAATTGGACCAATGGTGAGACATTCTACGTCAGCTCTTGGTTTTTTGGAGAACATACTGAGAGAGCTCTTAGCAAGTTTCTGGAGATATTTTTCAACCATAAATTTCACTGTCTTATAATAATCATCTTCCAATAACCTTTAGATTGTGCCCTTAAGATGACAAAGGGAGATTCCCTGAAGTGAAGTCATGCTAGACAATCTTGATGCCATTTCCACTAACATCATCTATAATTCTAAGAGGTGTGTATTGGACTTTAATTCAATGGCATATTGATCAGTGAAAAGATTCATTCATTCACTGAATAAGTATTTACTATCTACTATGTGGTAGGCATGCCTCTAGCCATAATTACAGATACAGCAGTAAAGAAAACAAAATTAATTCCCCACCTTCATGCAGCATGTATTCTACTGATCATTATCTGATAGATAGTTCTACTAATTAAAGATGCTTCTCCACCAAAGTTACTTCCGTTTATTCATGTGACAATTAATGGATATTCACGTGGCAATTAATATCAATGCAAAGACAGCAGCATATAAAGGTCTAGCGCCTAAGGCACTCGCTTACATGCCCAAATGATGAAGACAACTATGAACCACTCAGACTTCAAAATTCCCTGGATTCTGAAGAGCGTATATCCCTGAGGATGATCGGCTCTTGTCAGTCTTTTTGTCTCTGATAACAGAGTGTTGAAAACACATCCTAGCCTGAACTGGCCCTTAGGTTTCCTGCCACTGCTTCCAGCCCTCTTACTTCTCTCTGCCTGTGTATTATGGGCAGCACTTACACTGGCAAACGCTCTTATTACTCTGCTTGTTAACTTTTAGAGGCTTTTTCAGAAGTTACTCGCCAGTCTCTGACTGTATAGAGTCCTCACTCCCCATGCCTTTGAGCCCTCGTTTACAATCTAAAGCTCAAGTTCAACTCTACCTGTGAAGAGAAGCTCCCCCTGGCTACAGCGTCAGCCCCTGTGCCTACACTGAGAGCTTGTCGGCCCTTCTTTCCATGTGCTGCTCGAAATGAAGTTACTGTGAACTACTGTCGCTCTTCCCTTTGACAAAGCTATTTGACCATGTGAAAAAGAACGCGTGTATCTTTTAGCAGCTGTTACAAGAACGCTTCTTGGAGAGGGTATTGCTCAGTATAGAGAAGACCCTTGGGAAAACAGAAATATCTGAAGGGACGTTTCAGGTTGTTTTCTGAGGAATGGGAGGTGTAACCACTTCCTCCATCTGCCATATGGAATCAGCAAAGGTTATGTTACTCACTAATTTTTTCACTCACTTCTTTAACCAATTTGGCACTCTTCCAGGAGTTTGAATGCAGAATAGATCCCCTGCTTTGGGGAAATTATATTCTAGGAAGACAAATAATATCAATGAACAAAACAAATATGAAAATCATTATATATTAGGTCAGAAGGTAATAAGTGCTATTAAAAAAACAGGTACAATAGACTAAGAGAGATAGGAGATGTGGGGGTGGGGTAGGACATATTCCAAAAACTAATTAGGGTGCCCGGCCAGGCCTCATTGAAAGCTGACATTCAAGCAACAACTTCAAAGGCTGAGGGAGCTAACCAAGTCTCAGGGGAAGATTTCAGTGCAGAGTCAGTGTCAATACAAAGACCTCAAGGCAGGAACATGGCTGACAGGTGTCAGAAACACCAAGGAGCCCTGTGAGGCTAGTGTAGAGCGAGCAAAGGGATGGGGAAGCAAGCGGTGAGGCAGAGAGGAAGGGGAGGCCCAACTGTATAGGGCTTTGTAACTTAGACCAAAACAAAGTCATGACAAGGTTTGAGTAAAGAGTAGCATGATTGATCTGACTTATATCTTCAAGGATTTCTGCCTGTTGTGTTGAAAATACTCCAGAGAGACAAAGAAAACAGCAGGGTTAACAGTTAGGAGGCTGTCGGAGCAATCCAGAGAGAGCTGCTGGAGGCCTGGAGAGCAGAGTCGTGGAGGTGCTGAGACATGATTGGATGTATTTCGAAAGTAGAGTCAGGAGGGCCTCGTGGCCCATTAGATGACAGTGAGAAAAGACAAGAGCCAGTGATGACTTCCAGCCAGAAGCCTAGACCTGCCATCGCTGAGATGGGGAAGGCTACTGGAAGTGCAGGACTAAGTAGGGAAAATCAGGAGTTATGACTGGGACATGCTGAGTCTGACACAGACGGTAGACACCCAAGTGGAAATGCTGAGTAGACAATCGAGGACGTAAGTTCAAAGTCCAGGAAAGAGGACAGGACTACAAATATAAATGTATGAGTCATC